CTGATTACAAAAGTAATTCCAGTATTCCGTTAAAAAAAAATCACTAGAGGGGCGCCTGGGTGGCGCAGTCGGTTAAGGGTCCGACTTCAGCCAGGTCACAACCTTGCGGTCCGTGAGTTCGAGCCCCGCGTCAGGCTCTGGGCTGATGGCTCAGAGCCTGGAGCCTGTTTCTGATTCTGTGTCTCCCTCTCTCTCTGCCCCTCCCCTGTTCATGCTCTGTCTCTCTCTGTCCCAAAAAAAATAAATAAACGTTGAAAAAAAAATTTTTAAAAAAAAATCACTAGACATGAGAAGAATCAGGAAAAGAATCAAAATAACCATAGTCGAGAAAAATACAGCCAATAAAAGCAGATCTTGAATAACCCTAAAATTTCAATGAGCAGGCAAGAACTTTAAAGCAGCTGTTATAGATATGTTCAAAGAGTTAAAGGAACAAATATAAATATAGTGAGTGAACAGATTGGAGAGTTTCAGTAAGAAATAAGAAACTAAGAAATAAGAACCAAGGATTCTGGGGAGATGGCAACAAAAGCATAATTTTTCTGTCTCTCCAAATTGTCAAATAACAGTAGAGCAACTAGGTAGCAAAACCAAACACTGGGTGATAGGGTATCACTTCAACCTAAAAGTACAAACACTTATGAACACACTCTATACAACGACAAGACCTGGCTGGTATCACTATCTGTGTGGAAGGAAAAAGAAGGAAACAACAGTAGTGGAAGAAGCTGTCTGAAGTGCTTGAGAACAAAGGAACTCCCAAATAACCAATAGCTGTTCACTGGAAAGGATGATGACCAATTCGAGAACAGAAACTGAAATGGGAAAGATTTGTCACTCCAAAGGCCCAAGGAAGTTTGAGGGTGCTGTGCTCCCTTCTCACACTGAGGAGAAACTGCTGGAAGTAGAATCGAAATTGAGCAAGTTAGGGACAAGGGAAAGGAATGAGTGGGAGAGGAATTGAAAGCAAGCTATCATATTGTTTACCACTGCACCAAAACAAGAAAAAGCTCTGTGATGCTAAAAAATCTTTCCTAAATTCTGCCTCATTCAGAAGTTCAGGAAAATTAATTTCACATAAAGTAAGCAATAAAAAAAGTATCTTGGTTAATCTCATACAAAGTTAATAAAAAACAAAGAAATATAAAACAAAAGAGTAAAAGATGATTTTAATTCTGTCCGCCTTGTGTCCTCAAGAACCCAGAAGAAAGAAGGCAAATGAAATATAGAGAGGTTACATAAAAATTCTGTGGTCTCAAATTTTAATTGAAATATCAATATGCGCTCAAGGGCGCCTGGGTGACTCGGTTAAGCTTCCTACTTCAGCTCAGGTCATAAGGTTCGTGATTCAAGCCTCGCATCAGGCTCGCTGCTGTCAGCACAGAACCTGCTTCAGATCCTCTCTCTCTGCACCTCCCCTGCTTGCGCTCTCTTTTATTTTTTTTTATTTATTTTTTTAAAATTTTTTTAACGTTTATTTATTTATTCTTGAGACAGAGAGAGACAGAGCATGAACAGGGGAGGGGCAGAGAGAAAGGGGGACACAGAATCTGAAATGGGCTCCAGGCTCTGAGCTGTCAGCACAGAGCCCGACGCGGGGCTCAAACTCACGGATCGTTAGATCATGACCTGAGCCGAAGTTGGACACTTAACCGACTGAGTCACCCAGGCGCCCCACGCTCTTTTAAATATAAACATTTAAAAAATTACATGAAGTGAATGAAAAATAGGGAATTAAAATTATTACCGTTTTGCAACACCCATTAATGTATAGATATAAGTACGAAGGATCAGTGGCTGCTAAGATCACAAAAAGATAATCATATATTATGTGCCTCCTACAATTTTGCCAAGTACTACATATAGCCAGTCTTACCAAAGAGACTGAACCTGAGTCTGATTCATTCTTGGGGTCCAACTGCCAATTTGTAACAAATAAAAAAGACAAAGGAATATGTTGAACTGCGCTAAGAGGATATGTATGTTAGCTCGAGTTGCCGTAACAAAATACAACAGACTTAGTGGCTTAGACAACAAAAATTTATTTCTCACAGTTCTGAAAGCTGGGAAGTCCAAGATCAAGGTGCTAGCAAGGTAGGTTTCCTCCTGAGGCCTCTTCTCCTGACTTGTAAGCAGCCGCCATCTTGCTGTATGCTCACATGACCTCTTTTACACAAAGAGAGAAAGCAAGAGAAAGCAAGGTCTGTGGTGTCTCTTCTTTTTTTTCAACGTTTATTTATTTTTGGGACAGAGAGAGACAGCATGAACGGGGGAGGGGCAGAGAGAGAGGGAGACACAGAATCGGAAACAGGCTCCAGGCTCTGAGCCATCAGCCCAGAGCCCGACGCGGGGCTCAAACTCACAGACCGCGAGATCGTGACCTGGCTGAAGTCGGACGCTTAACCGACTACGCCACCCAGGCGCCCCTGTGGTGTCTCTTCTTATAAGAACACTAATTCTGTCAGAGCAGGGCCCCGCTTTTATGACTTCATGTTACCTTAGTTACTTCCTTTAGAGGCCTAATCTCCAAATACAGCCATACTAATGGGTAGGGCTTCAACATAAGAAGTTTGGAGAAACACAGGCATTCATTCTGTGAATACAATTAGCAAAATTCAGACTGTGACAAACCCTGTATTTCAAACAGCCTGGATTCTTTAACACATAATTTACGAGGGAATAAAAAAGGCTAGAAAAAAGAACCTGTTGGGGTGCCTGTGTGGCTCAGTCGGTTAAGCGTCCGACTTTGGCTCAGGTCGTGATTTCACAGTTTGTGAGTTTGAACTCCACATTGGACTCTGTGCTGGCAGCTCAGAGCTTGGAGCCTGCTTCGGATTCTGTGACTCCCTCTCTCTCTATCCCTCCCCTGCTCACACTCTGTCTCCCTCTGTCTCTCAAAAAATAAATAAACATTAAAAAAAGAGAAAGGAACCTGTTGACTAAAAGAGATTCAAGAGACAAATCAAATTTATTTTAAATAAGCAGGAAGATAATTATCCTGGGATGCACATTTGGGTTATAAAATAGTTTTTTAAATACAAGGAATGGAAAGTGACTGTTAACGGATACAAGAAGGGGGAGGGGGCATGGAAATGCTCTGGAATTAGATAGTGATGATGGTTGCACAACTTTGTGAAAATGCTAAAAACCACGGAACTGTAAACTTTTTAAAGTGGGTGAATTTTATGATCTAGAAACTATATCAGTAAAAATGATAAACATGTACATGCAAATGAAAAACTACAAGGAATGATAACTGGGAAAGTTAGTAATTGTTACATGCTGGGAGAATTGTAATAGTTATGAGGCACATAGAAGGGACTTCTGTGACAGTTGGCCAAGTTCCACCTTTTATCTGACTGGTCAACCTTACACTAATTTCTTAAGGTATTTATATTTGGTTTGTTTGGCTTTCTGTGCCTCTGTTCTGTTTACAATAAAAAGATTTTTTTCAAAAACTAAATACAGGGCGCCTGGGTGGCGCAGTCGGTTAAGCGTCCGACTTCAGCCAGGTCACGATCTCGCGGTCCGTGAGTTCGAGCCCCGCGGTCCGTGAGTTCGAGCCCCGCGTCGGGCTCTGGGCTGATGGCTCAGAGCCTGGAGCCTGTTTCCGATTCTGTGTCTCCCTCTCTCTCTGACCCTCCCCCGTTCATGCTCTGTCTCTCTCTGTCCCAAAAATAAATAAACGTTGAAAAAAAAAATTAAAAAAAAAAAAAAACTAAATAAATTCTAAAGCCGAAAAGTACAATAGCTGAAATGGATAATTCACTAGGTGGACTTTACAGTCCAATTGGAGGCAGAAGTCAAGTGAACCTGAAGAGAGATAGAAATTATCCAGTCTGAAGAACAGAAATAAACTGTAGAAGAATGAACAAAACCTCAGAGACCTATGAGATATTTTCAAGCCATCTAACATACATCTAATTAGAGCCCCAGAAATTGAAGAGCGAATGCGTCAGAAAAAACCTTTGAAGAAATCATGGCCCAAATCTTCCCAAGTGTGGTGAAAGATAACAACTTATAGATGTGAATTACATTATTGACCACCTTGATTATATTGACATTTGTCCAACTTGTACAGCTCAGATTTATGCATTTTGGTGTATATAAAATTTACACTAAAAATAGAACTATTAATGGGGCACCTGGGTGGCTCAGTCCAACTCTTGATTTCGACTCAGGTCGTGATCTCACTGTTTGTGGGTTCCAGGCCTATGTCAGGCTCTGTGCTGGCAGTGTGAACCCTGCTTGAGATTCTCTCTCTCTCTCTCTCTCTCTCTCTCTCTCTCTCTCTCTCTCTCTCCCTCTCTCTCCTCCTCCCCTGCTTGTTCTGTCTTTTTCAAAATAAATAAACTTTTAAAAAAAGAACTATTAAGGGGCACCTGGTGGCTCAGTTTGTTAAGCATCTGACTCTTGGTTTTGTTTGGCTCCAGTCATGATCTCGGGGTTCGTGAGTTCAAGCCCTGTGTCAATTAGAGCCTCCTTTGGATTCTCTCTCTTTACCCCTCCCTACTTGTACGTGGGTGCATCCTTCACGCTTTCTCTCTCTCTCTCTCAAAAATAAGCAAAATAAATAAATAAGAACTATTAAAAACTCTTTAGAAATACTGTGGGGGTTGGAGTGTGGGCAGCCTCATAGTGACACAAATACAACATGTTGCTCATGGCCAAACTTGGATTTGGTATGTAGATGTTCATTATACTCATTATATTATTGTATTTAACCATTCTTATTAGGGGACATTTAAAGTTTATTACAGTGAACATTTTTATATACTCAGCTTTCTTTGAATTTCAAATATTTTCTCTTTTTTTTCAATATATGAAATTTATTGTCAAATTGGTTTCCATACAACACCCAGTTCTCATCCCAAAAGGTGCCCTCCTCAATACCCATCACTCACCCTCCCCTCCCTCCCACCCCCCATCCACCCTCAGTTTGTTCTCAGTTTTTAAGAGTCTCTTATGCTTTGGCTCTC